AATCTCTCGCCCCGCCCCTCTAACAATCTCCAAGACCCGTTGTTTGACTTTTCATGCGCAGTACCAAACTCAGCTGGTCCAGAAGGCTATGTAATCGTAAAAAGCCCGCACGCAATTTTCCCGAGCCACTGCCTTTAAAGTATCAGATGCTCTCATTCCACTCTGTAAGAAAATGGTTCATTACTTGTGCTTGTACTGCCGCATCAATCTTGCCTCCTTATGCATCTCTTCAATTTCCTCTTTGTTGTCTTCACTTACTTTCATCTAAAATATTTTAAATCTTTATCGTCTCTTGGTTGCTTTGAATTCAACGGTCCGGATGTAGCTTAACCAAAGACACCTTTTTGATGGCAACGTCGATTTCCCTGTTCAACCCTTCCTTGAGTTTCCCAGCATACACTTCGCCAAACTCTCCATGTCCAAGCTCCTCTCCCATTGTTAACTTATCTTTTGTCAGCTCCCATCTTTGTTTTGGTATAGGCCTCAAAAGTTTCACTTCATCTGCTATGGGTGAACCGCTTTCGAGATGAAACCTGCATAAAAACTGTCACCCTTGTCAATATTTTTTCACTTACTTTACTAGATCAATAATGTTTGTATTACGAAAATTTCCGTCCAGTGTGAATAATCTTGATTCTCCGAGTACTCGAAAGTGTATGACATGATCTCTGATTTCCTCCCAGTTAACGGTGACGCATGCCTCAAAAGCCACCCATTTTTGGGATACTTGCATTAACATATTCACAACAAAGCCGATTTCTCAATTACTGCCGCTTCGGACCAGAACCATTTTCGCGTTATCAAACTTAACCAGACGTGGGTCGAGTTGTGCGAAATGGCAGAACGCGCATGACCTACCAGTGGGCCGTATCGTCGCGAAAGAGCGGGTATACATCATGCGATTAAATCGCCTCGCCATTCTCTCGACAGCTGTCACGAGTTCATTGCATGCCGATCATCTTGCATTTCGGTAGTGAGGGTTGGTCACGTTGGTCGTCTAGGGAAACTACCACAACCGAAATGAAGATGATCGGAATGCAATAGACTCGTAACTGTCGATCGCGAGGCGGTGAACTCGCGCGATATATGCGCGGCCCCTTATGTCTCAAGGTCTATGGCCTCGAGCAGAGTTCATGCGATTTTATCGCCGCGATTCTTCTAAGAAGACAAACAGTTACGAGTCTATCGCATGCCGATCATCTACCATTTCGGTTGTGATAGTTGGCCACGGTTGGTCGTGTTGGAGAACTACCACAACAAATGCAAGATCATTGGCATGCAACAGACCCATAAGGGCCAGGCATACTTCACGCGATTTCATTCGCGATGCGATTTGGCAATTTACCAGAAGTCTTCAGATCCAACACTAGCAAACTGCACGTGCATAGTATGTGTGACTTACGTGGACT